ACACACACACACAGTGGTACACAACCACTGCAGAATACACAATCTTCTCAAGAGCAATGAATATTCAACCAGATAGACCCCACGTGAGGCCACAGAACCAGTCCTCACAGGTTTTATAAGACCAAAGTCATACAAAATAATTTCTCTGTTCGAAGTGAAACATAACTGGTAGAAATAAACAAGCAAAAAATTCACATATAGGTGGAAATCAAACAACTCACTGTTGAACAACCCAAGAGTTAAAGAAGAATCCACAGAGGAATCTAGATACTATCTAGAGACAAATGACAAGAAAAACACAGCCTACCCAGCCTGCCTGGGCTCAAAGCAGGACTAGGGAGGAAGTTGGTGGTGGTACATTCAAATTAACAACCAAACCTCACACCTCAATAAACTAAAAAGAGAGGAAAAAAACTAAAGCAAAAGTTGGGGGAAGAAAGGAGATATCAGGGGCTAGAAAAAAATGAAACGGAGAAAGGAAAACAAATTGATGAAACCTAATGTTGTTTGGAAACAAACTATTTTAACAAACAAGGAAAAAGGGGGAAGAGATTCAAACGAATGCAATTAGAAACGAAGGGGGGTGGACATTGCAACTAATGTCACAGAAATTAAAAGGGATGAGGGAGAACTGCTAGGAACAGCTATCTCCTGACAAAATYGGGTAACCGGGAAGAAAGAGACATGAACTCATCAACTCAAGAGCAAGACAACAAACCCATCTCAAAAACAAACAAACAAACAAAGCACAATTAAAATTGGGCAAAATAATAGACAATTCTCCAAAGAAGACGAAACTGGCAAGTTTATGAAAAGATGCACAATGTCACTAATTACAAGAGCAACACAAATAAAAACCACATTTCTATCTCACCTATGTCCATTAGTACAGCCACTATCAAAAGAACAGAAAATAATAAGCCTGGGCAAAGATTCAAACAAACAACAATAAAAAACTGAAACCCTTGTTCGYTGTAAGTGAGAAGTTGAAATGGTTCAGCTGCTATGAAAACCGACATGAGCCTTCCTCAAAAAATTAAAAACAGAATTGCTGCACCATTCAGCAATCCTTCTGGGTAATTATGCAAAAGAATTGAAAGCAGGGTCTTAGAGACATTTTTATGCCGGCGTTCATTGCAGTGTTATAGCCAAGAGGTGGGAGTACACCAAATATCCACTGACACACGAATGAATATAGAAAATACATATGTATGATGGAATATTATGCAGCCCACAAAAGAAGTAACTCCTGTCACATGTTACAACATGTATGAACTTTGAGAACATTATGCTAACTGAAGTAATCAGAGTCATAGAAACAGTAGAAAGATGTTTGCCAAGGGCTGGTGTGTGACAGGGTCAGTGTTTAATGGGTAGAGGCTTTCAGTTTACAGGATGACAAATTTCTAGAAATCTATCACACAATAATGTAAATACTTTTTAACACTACTGAGCTGTATACTTTAAGATGGTAAGTTTAGTATATACATTTTTTTTTTTTTTGGAAATCACCACCACAACAAAAACAACAGTAAAAGCAATATGTCTAAAAAGTCAGTTTCATTTTGGAAATATAAATATAAATCAAAATTCAGAATAAAAAATGATTACTAGGGTTTGAAATGAAAACATGTTATAATAGAACTATAGATTGAATAGTTATTAGCTACATAATGGAAACAAAGAAGTTGTGTTTTAATCTGTCTAGTGTTTTGATATGACTTTGTGTCACTATGGCCTGATGGTCCTTTTGTAGTCTAGGTCCAGAAGTTTCCATGTACCAGTGTGGTGGGACACAGAATTCTCTAGTAAATCATGCCAAGGGCATGTGGAAAGGGTGATTTTATAAATTACAGAATCTTGATGTAATTTATAAAATATATAGGCATACACCAGACCCTAAGCCACCCCAGTGGTGGTTTTTCTTTTTTTTCTTCATTAGTGGAAAAATACCAAGGGACTTGCGATTCAAGTCTAAATCAGCAGTGCAAAACCACGCAAAATTAGATCTCTATACTTTTCTAATTTCCCCCTTATTTTTTTCTGACATTGAATACCATCCCAGTGGGGATGGAGAAATGAAGCGCCAGTTGGCAGGTCTTGGTGACAACCCTTTTCTGCCACCGGTGAGTCAGTCCTACGGACAAGCCGTAAATCCTCTGCTCATCAGATTTCTATGTGGAGTGAGGTGTGGTTGACATGACGATTACAACAGCAACGCTGATCACGTGCTCCTGGGATGATCATGCCACTGGTCATTATCTTGCTCATTACTTGATGCACGGAGGAGGCACCCCAGGATAGGGGTCAATCAGCAATTTGCCCAAGGGCACGCAGCTGGTGGGCAGGGCCAGAGCAGGCGCTGAACCTGTTACCAGCTCTGACCCTGTCTGCTGAAGCCACTACCCGGTAGAGTCATTATGCAGAGGTCTAGTGCAGGGAAGTGATTGAGGGCCCACTAAGGGCTGGCCCTCAACAGATGGTCCCATGTTATGTCACCAATGGCCAGTGTCAGTGAGTCACTTAAAACCACAGTGGCAGCTGAATCCATATCTGGGCCTTCCCCTCTGTGGCCATCAGGCAGGGGCAAGTCTGCTGGTCAGTGCTGGCTTTGAACTCCTTTCCTTATCACCGTGTACAGATGGGAAAAATCCCTTCTTAATGGCTGCGAGGATCACGTAGGATCATTGATACTTCACCCTAAGTTTTCATTGTGATGAAATATTCAGGTTATTTTTCCATTTTTGTTCTCTGTGTTGATCTTTTCAAAATCGGTCCTCTCCCCTGTTCTACGGGAAYAACTAATACAGTTTGACTAGGAAGATAACATCTTTCTTCTGAAGAGCCCAAGAGCCTGTCCCTCACTAGGGAGCTATTAAAAGTCACAGTTTCAGAGCTCCCCATGCAGAAGGTCAAGGCCAGGTTCCTGGTCTACCCCTGAGGGCACTCTGGACGTACTTCTCAACTTCATGGAGGTCTAGTCTCTTGGTCTGTTCCGGAGGCACAATGATGTTTTCCTCAAAGCATTGCTGCCATAATTAGACAACAAGGGGCATACAGTATGTGTTCAGTAAATTTAGCCCCCTTTAATAATCCTGTCACAAATTGTCAGTTAACATAGTATGACTGAAAAATCAAAATCAGGAGGGTAGGTCTAGGAATGCAGAGTAAACCCTCCAGCACTGCTTCTCTCTTGTTCTGCTGTTCTTCTRGGTCTTGGGTTTGCGCTGCCCCTGACTGGAGGCAGGGAGGTGGTGAACACCTGAACACACGTCTCGGGACAAATCCTAGGGTGAGACCAGTAAAACTGGAGTCGGAAGGATGAAGTCCAACTTCAACGCTTGCTAACTCTGTGGCCTCGTCACGTCATGTACATTCTGTGTTCTTGTTTTCTCATCTGTAACTTAGGAARAGAGAAAATATCCGCTCTGCTTTGTTTTGCAGCCAAGAGCTAAACAAATATGCTTAGCTTTTATGGATGCTTCTGYCATCCTCCCTGCTTTCATTCATTCTCCGGGCAAGTGGGCTGGTGCCAACTTAGGTCTGTTTGAATTTGTAATCACCAAGAGGTGGGTGAGAACCCCGGATTCCCATCTTTRTAAAATCTAGCATCGTTATCAGTAAGACATCTTGACGTTTATTCTAAAGAGATTATCTATCTTCTCTGACACCATCTGATATGCTCCTCATTATGTGATCTTAACTTCCTTATTTAAATATTTGAATATTCTGTTTAAGAAATACTRTCCATGAAATAGCCATTAGAAGAGTAATTTCTCTGTAAGTCATTGATCTTCTGAAGTCAACTTTAGTCTTCTCTCCTTTAAACAATTTGAGTTATATTCTTTTGCATTGTTTAGTGTTGGGGTGTGTGTTCGTGGGGGGGGAGGGAGTGGTCCCTTTAATCAGGATCCTATCATGTGCCTTTTGGAGCCTCCTAGGAATTGTTGTTAAAGAATCTGATTGTGAATGTGACTGTGCATTCACAGCAAAGATGCTCATATCAAAATAAATCTACCCAGAGCATCTCATTTGTAGATTTGTACTCCTGAAGCACTAACTAAAATAAGAAATGTTAATTTCTTGTAGGCTATTACCAGATGATTTTTAAAGATCTGCCAAGCAGGAGTGTCTGTTCCCATGTGAGGAATTTCCATAATAAATTCCTGGCACCAAAGCCGAAGAGGATAGTTTTATAGAAACAGAGAAAAACAAAAGCAAGTATTCTCCCCGAGGACAGTTTTAGCTACAACTTCCCAAGGCTGCTTCGTTATTTCTGTTCTCATTTTATGTTTTTGTTTGGAAACGTAATGCAATTTTTACCTGGATGGACTCCTGGATCATCAGGAAGAGCTCAGTAGGTTGTCTGGCACCTGTCAAATAGGAGACCTCCCCCAAATCAGAAGGCTCCACCRCCTGGCCTCTTCCCCCACCCCCACGGCCATCAAGGGAAAAAAAAAAGGGTTAAGGATTATTGGAGATCAGAGGGGAGGGGAGGGAGCCCCGAGGAGGCCCAGAGCAGGAGGCCCCTGGGTCCAGCTTTCATGACCTGCAGCGTGGCTGAGCTCTGAGCGCTGCTGCTTGCTGCTTGCTGCTGCCTTCGGAGGAGGGATGGGAGGAAGGACGCGGCTGCCAATCTCAGGGACCACTGCTGCCAGGAGTGGGCGTGGCCTCATCGGTGTGGATGCTTGTTAGAAAAGATACTGGGTGCTTTTCAGTGAGGAGTCAGGGCTGTGTGTGTGAGGGAGGGGGGCAGGGGGAGAGAGAGAGAGAGAGAGAGAGAGAGAGAGAGAGAGAGAGAGAGAGAGAGAGAGAGAGAGAAGAGAGCAGGAAAGAGGGAGGGAGATAGGAGGGGAAGGAGGGAGGAGAGAGAGGGAGAGACAGAGAGCAGACCTGGAGATACTGAAGATCCAGTCGGAGCTGGGAGAGGGACTGACAACCCGACTCAAGCGCTGGTAGAGCCACTCAGGATCTTTTGGGGGAGCTCCGTCAATAGGAACATGGGGTCTGTCGCTGGAGCCTTCCTCAAGATGCTGTTCCTGTTATCTACTCACAATTGGAGCAGAGCGGAAGCTGGGAATTCTTGTAAGTATACAGCCTATGATTTAAAACTTGCAGGGGGGCTCCCTGCAAAACTTTGATTCGATTGTTTTTTTTTTTTTTATGACTGTTATTTGCTGCTGAGATGGCTGCAGAGCTTATTGCTCTCAATGATGAAACATCATTTAAAAATCCTGCAACTAGGACCGGGGTTGATGCTCCTCTTTCCTCTTGAACAGGTCAGCATAGGCAAAGTGTGAGCTCTCTCCTCTCTCTCTCTCTCTYTYTTTTTTTTGTCTACGACTGGGATCCTACTCTCTTGTCTTTGAATATTCATTGAGAATGCTCAAGTTCTAGTAAAACATTAAATTAGCATCTTAACCAGGGTATCGCCTGCGAATGTCTTCATTTCTTCCTTTGAGGATTACTGAATTTCATTGGAATGATGTCTAACGTGAAAACAACCGGCAGACTTTGCATTATGCTGCATTAGCTTAGGTTTCTGAAGTTTGCGATTTGGCAGAGGAGTAGCTGACTGGCTGCATCTTTAAAAATGATGCAGGCTAATAACTGAAAATGTACTGCAGACTTGGGAGCAGGCAGGACTGGTGGAGGCAAACCTCAGTATCAGAGCTGTGTCCTGGCTCCTTAGACAAGGAGACTTGGAGCTCTCCTGAGAGAGGGCTGATCCCCACATTTGACTGAAAGGGAAAAAAGCATTCAGGTGATCTCTTTTCAAAAGTGTGTTCTTTACTGGTTGGCTTTTCTGCTTCATGGATTTGTGATTGAATATTTCTGATTTTTGAGTTGATGGATTCAGGGAAGATTTGTACGAATCTTGTTTCTAATTAAAAATATGACCCCAAATAATTTGGCAGACTCCCTTCATCCATTTGTTATTAGAGATTTAAAAAAAAAAAGTTTTAAAAGTTGTATTTGGTTCTCTAAAGGGGAGAAATTCCCCCTTCACAATGAGTGAAAAACAAGCTCAAGAAATTCAACTTTTTATTTCTTGCATTTTAAAGGAAAATCCCATTTGCTCATTTGCTTTTCAAGAAAGGGCTATGAGGCCTCTTCAGGAATTTATGCTGCTGCTGTGCCACCACCAGCATAGGGTTGGGGGACTGAAGCCAGCAAGCAGACATTTGGTGTGGGAGGGATGTCATCTGACTTCACTCAAGGGCTCTCATGTGAGAAAAACATTACAAACTCACCATCCCTAGCCAAATGTCTATCCCGGGCTGCATGGTGACTGTGATTCCATTCGCTGTGTTTCCATCACTAGGAATTCACATAACCTCAGGGTGCATCTATCCCTCTCTAAGGAGAAAACTTCACTCCAGGTGCTGCTCTGTGTTTCAGATTCAGTTTTAAATTGGGTGTGTGGGAATCCCAGGAAGTCAAGAAAATTTGCATAACTTTCCCTCATCAAAATCTTGGAATCCTGCAAGGGAGTACAAGCTGTTGACAATGTTGCAGCCAACCAACAGACAATACAGACACCCACACACGAGGGAAGTATTGTAGGAAAGGCATCAGTAATTCATCTTCCAACTGCTGAAGTTCAACCAAAAAGGAAGCACTAGAGGTCACTCTTACAATGTGCAGCACATCAGTGCAAGGATCAGTCCCTCAAGACTTAACACTGGCCTAACACAGCGTGTTTTTCCAACATGCTGCCTCTGGTTGGGTTTGCAGTATATTAAGAGGTTTAATTGGGTTGCTAGTTGTATGAAAGTGTAAGGAGCCGATCAACATGGAAGAGCTTTCTTTTGTATTGTATCTTCTCAGTAAAGAAAAGGTGAGATGCTGAGATCTGAGAGCTCAATATTCCAGTCTGCTCAGCTCTGGCTGGGCCTCTTGCTGACACTTAAAATCTCAATCCTGATTCTGAATTCATTCAGCCTCAGTTTCTTTAGGAAGTCATGTAATGCTCTCTTTAACACTGGCTGAACTTAGAGAACCTATACACTTTAAATTCCCAGGAACTTTCAAATAATAAAGTTGGAATTCTTGGTTGGCACATCCATCAAGAATTGGCTGTTCTTCAAGTGTCAAAAATGTCATTAATTGCCTTCCTGTAATTTACATTGCATTTTGTAATTTCTTGTTACCATTTGGGCAGTGTGATTTGCAGCTGTATATAAAAGAAAATATTTCATTTCCTAATTTTTATTTTATTCCTCAGTATTTGGGAAGGATTCACTTTGTGGAAGAAGCAGGTCCATTTGTTGGCAGGTCACAGTGGAAAGTAGACCATGCATTTTATCCTTTTTGGAAGAACAGGTCTATATGTTCACGAGCATATTGGAAGTTTACAAAAGAATGAGCAACCATCAACTAGCATGTGTTTCAAAATGTTCTAATAGCTCTAGTAATTCTTCTGGACCAGACCACATATTGGTAAAAAAAGAATCCATCRTGATTACTAATATTAAAGTTAGAACTGAATGTGAATAAAAGAATTAAAAGTCTGTCTCTTAGGCAAATACAAAGACCTTTGTCATCCACTGAGTTGCTAGTTGTTGGTCCAACATGAATGCTTTCACAGGGGACTCTGTAGACATAGGATTTAAGTGTACTTGACTTTGGAATATTAATTGATCTTTCTATTAGAAATATTCTGTATAAATCTAAATATGTATAAACTTAGACCCATGTGCTTGTACACTTTGGGGGGCCCCTGATAAGTACTCTCCTGCCTAAGGATGAGACATAGTGAATGGATCACATTCTTTGCCTACTGGTGTCCCACTGGACATTTTAAAAGTAGAGAATGAGCCCCTAGATTTTTCTCTTTGTTCTTGTTGAGGTGAGTTTGTTATTATATGAGATGTCCCTTTCATGAAAAGGTAGAGACAGATCCTGGTAGGTAGGCTTGATCTGTGAGATGCTACACTGACTCTTGTTTTCTTCACTTCCTACTAAGAGACACACACTAWAAAAGAGAAGCCATCTCTTTATTTTGTACTTGGTCTGAAGGAGCTGCCATCTCTGAATAGTAAGACTGTGTTGGAGGAAGGGTAAGAGAAAGAGCAGGTGAAAGTAGTCCTGCTTTAGTTTCACCTTGTAGATCATGCAATGGTGGATCTTTGGCCTCAGACATACATACTTGCTGTGCCTTACTTGAGAAGAACTGATGCTTACCAAGGAGCTGACCAATGACTTAATTAGAAGTTAGCTTCTCACTGTGTTCTTTTTTTTCTAATAGAAATAAAGGATAGAGTTGATATTTACCAGAAGGAAACATTAAAATTGTGGTAAAATCAGTAATTGATAAAAGTAATCACCGAGTAGATGGCCACTTTTGTGGGTTTTTTTGGACAGATCCTCAAATTGCTAAAACTCAACTTTGAAACTTTCTCTTTCTTCCTCTCCCCCAAATTCATCTCTATGGCCAAAAATAGCTAGAAAACAATAATGAAGTATRGCTAAATATAATTCTATAATGCATTGCCTAAATGGCTAACTTTGGGTGGAAATGACGAGCGTGCGCCGTGACTAATTTCTCTACTAGCAGTGGTGATTTATTTTCATCCACATAGTGAATTCTCTGCATTTACTGCAGCCACCTCAAATCATGTTTGACAAAGGCAACCTTTGACTCTAGGGTAACATAGCTCATAAATTAACATAGGGATCAAACATGACTTCCAGTGAGTGGTACCTAGTGCTTAAAGTAATAGTCATTATGGTTATCTTCTGAAATTAATTTTTGGATTTATATCATATATAAACAATTTCTCTATTGGAGCATATATATATATATATATATATATATATATATCCAGATTAAATTGACTTCTTCAGTGAAAGCAAATTATTAGAATTGTATTACATCAAGTATAAGTTAATGTAGTATTAGGCTTAGAAGTGGGTAAATTATGGCCCACGAACCAAATCTGTTCTGCTGCCTGTTTTTCTATGGTCTATGAACTAAAAATGATTTTTCACATTTTTAGCTGAAAACAAAACAAAAGGAGCATTGTTCATGGTTCAAAAATAATTATGTGAAATTCAAATTTTAGTCATCTGTCTTATATGTAGGAGTGTATGAGAAAAATTTGTACTGGAATATTATATTTTGAATTTTATAAATAAAATTTTTGTTAAAATTATTTTACTCATGGTCTCTAAGTACCTACATGGTATTCTTTACTATCTGATCCTTTATAGAAAATGTTCATTGACTTCTGATGGAAATATTATACAATGTAATATAATGACAAGACAGAGATAGTGTATAAATTATATTAAAGTAACACTTAGCATTTAGTCAGTCATTTAGTTCAAAATGCCCCCCCACCAACCATAGAGTTGTGGTACTGAAGGTAATTGTAATATTTCTAGGAGTTATAATAGAAGAAATCTTCAAGCTAATATTTTTGTCATGTTTCTTCTGAAATATTTGATTGTCCAAAAATCTTGTTATTTCAATGAGTATGCATTATTTATAATTATTTGTAAAATTTCAGCAGTTTTGGTTGATCATGGAGCATTTTAAGTAATTCTATAGTCTAGGATGTTTAAAATAGTATATAACTATTTGCCTCTTAGATATTTAGAATAAAAATTYTGCTGTAACTTTACATTTTCATGAGTGTAAAATATTCCACTTCATATTAATCAGGAATTTAACATCTGGAATCAAGTAATTCTATGAGGGAAATGCTTATGTTTGAAGGGTGTTTGTGCTTCTACGCTTTTTAAAGCAGTAGCTTCCTGAAAACACTGAAATTGGCAAGATTTCTAGAGCAAATTTAAAAATAGATTTTCATTTAAGCACTACCCACTGAGAATTCACAATAATTAAGGAAGTGCCTTTCACCTTCTCATGCTAGTATAATTAATTTGTATGTAAATATCTTCTCCATTTGGAGTTGTACTTACTTTTTAAAATGTTTTTATCAATACACTGTAGTTATACATAACAATGGATTCATCTTGACATACTAATACATGTGTGGAATGTAATTTGCTCCATTTCAGATCTCAGAATTTCTACTCTCCCCAACCCCTGTTCCTTTTTCTATACTTTACTGGTA